AACTTCTTCTAAAGTTGAAGGGCATTTAACCCATCTATTTAATACTTCTGGTTGATTCAAAGCTTTCGTCACATTTTTAATGCATCTGCTCACAGATGGTTGGCTAACAACTGAATTAATGTTATATCCTATGTTTGTCTGGTAACTGCCAGATGCCATAAAGCGTAGAGCTGTTACAACCTATAGTAAAAAATTAATTTAATAAATATTGTGTAAATGGTACAACATTTAAACAATCATATACAAAAAACAATTTAATAATTTTATTTACCTGTGTGTTTATATCTAAAGGTGCCTTTTCATGCTGACGCTCGACGCTCATTTTCAGCGACAAGAAGGTCGCATGACCACAATTGACGCCGGCGTCAATTGAAATTCATGAAAAGGAAAACAGCGTCAAAATTTCGGCGTCTTCGCGCTGCTTTGGCTTTGACGCTTGAAGTTGGAAAAATCCAACTTCTCTTTCTTGACGCTGGCATCATAGTGATGTCACGTGACGAGAAGTCAAGAAAGAGAAGTTGGATTTTTCCAACATCAAGCGTTCAAAGCCAAAGCAGCGCAAAGACGCCGAAATTTTGACGCTGTTTTCCTTTTCATGAATTTCAATTGACGCCGGCGTCAATTGTGGTCATGCGACCTTCTTGTCGCTGAAAATGAGCGTCGAGCGTCAGCATGAAAAGGCACCTTTAGATATAAACACACAGGTAAATAAAATTATTAAATTGTTTTTTGTATATGATTGTTTAAATGTTGTACCATTTACACAATATTTATTAAATTAATTTTTTACTATAGGTTGTAACAGCTCTACGCTTTATGGCATCTGGCAGTTACCAGACAAACATAGGATATAACATTAATTCAGCTGTTAGCCAACCATCTGTGAGCAGATGCATTAAAAATGTGACGAAAGCTTTGAATCAACCAGAAGTATTAAATAGATGGGTTAAATGCCCTTCAACTTTAGAAGAAGTTAAACGTATAAGAGATGGGTAAATATTTTTTAAATAAATATAGTATTAATTATTTTATTAATGATAATTTCTATTATAAAAAGTCTTCTATCTTATTTCTATTTTTACATCTAAATTAAAATAACAGATTTTTAAAAAATAAAGAAACAATTTTTTATAAGCAATACTTATATATAGATTTATATTCGAAGAATGTAACTATCAATTAATGTTGAATAAAAATTATTAAACAATTTATTTTCTTTTATACAGGTTTTGGGAGAAATATCAATTCCCAGGAATTATTGGATGCATTGATTGTACCCATGTAGCAATCGTTGCACCTCCTACACATCATCCACTATTTCCTGAATATATATATGTAAACAGGAAAGGTTACCATTCCATTAATGTACAACTAATAAGTTACTAACGCATAATGTTGCTATAAATTTGTAAAATAAATTTTATATACTGGATAAATTGTTAATATCAAATATGGAACCGCAGATGCTAACTGTATGACCGTATAAATTATATGTGCGTATAATAATTACATATATTTTTTAGATATGTGACAGTGATATGAAAATCATTCATGTAAATGCAAAATATCCAGGAAGTACTCACGATAGCTATATTTGGAATAATTGCAACTTTTTACCAATTTTGAGACAATGGCCTAGTTTACACCGATCACTTGATACGCGTATTAAATAGTAAATAACTAGTAAATAAATCTGATTATTGGCTGATCAGTTCAAATATACTATTTGATACGCGTATCAAGAGATCGGTGTAAACTAGGCCAATTACACAATCGGAGACATACTTTTTATCTTTTGGGTAAGTATAAATATATTAACATTTTTGTGTTTAATACATTCTAATTACTTTAATAGTTATTGAAAGGAATGATAACATCATTAATATATGAAATGTTTAATCTTGACTGATTGTTTTATGTTCTAGGTGATTCTGGATATGCCTTAAGACCCTGGTTATTGACACCTGTCATGAATGCTGAACCAAACTCTTCTGAAGATCACTATAAAGGTGGAAGCACATAAAATTGCAGGAGCCATGAGCAGAAAGCAGAAGCCATATGCGCATGCGCTATGGAATCCGTGTGCTAGACGCTTGAAACATATTTGCAGCAAAATTTCACAAGTGTATGTCGCTTAAATCGTTGTTTTTGCCGTACAGATCCGACCGGCAGAAACGTGAAAAGAACGTGCAAGCATCTGCCCGTAAGAAAAAGAGCAGTCGAGTGTGCTAGACTCTTGAAACATATTTGCAGCAAAATTTCACAAGTGTATAATGTCGCTTAAATTGTTGTTTTTGCCGTATAGATCCGAGTGACAGAAATGCGAAAAAAGCGTGCCAGCATCTGCCCGTCAGAAAAAGAACAGTCGAGCTAAACTCCCAGACAGCACAAAATATTTATAAAATATTTATAAAATATTTATAAAAAAGATTTAAATATTTTGAAAATATATACGTTGAATATTTTGTAAATATTATAATGTCCGGAAAATGAAAGTATCTAAAAAATTATAATAAATATTTTAA